GTATTCTCATGTATGGGTGACACAATATGTGGCTGTCAACACGAGAACAATACCCCAGCTGACACAATGGTATTTGAATCCTGTGGTACTTTCGTCTGGGGTGTGTTTAGAATATGTCCTTGAAAACTGGAGGTCGGGTTTATCCCCCACTCCTAAACCACTTTCTACCGGAACAACTGCACACCTGAGTCATGGAGAGATAATAAACACGAAAATACAGTGGTAGTCATACAGTGTTACGGGTGATATATTGATACAGTGGTAGTCATACAGGAATACAGTGTTACGGGTGATATATTGATACAGTGGTAGTTATACAGGAATACAGTGTTACGGGTGATATATTGATACAGTGGTAGTCATACAGGAATACAGTGTTACGGGTGATATATTGATACAGTGGTAGTTATACAGGAATACAGTGTTATGGGTGATATATTAATACAGTGGTAGTCATACAGGAATACAGTGTTACGGGTGATATATTGATACAGTGGTAGTTATACAGGAATACAGTGTTACGGGTGATATATAGATACAGTGGTAGTCATACAGGAATACAGTGTTATGGGTGATATATTAATACAGTGGTAGTCATGTGAATACAGTGTTACGGGTGATATATTGATACAGTGGTAGTCATACAGGAATACAGTGTTACGGGTGATATATTGATACAGTGGTAGTCATACAGAAATACAGTGTTGTTGGGTGATATATTAATACAGTGGTAGTCATACATGAATACAGTGTTACGGGGTATATATTGATACAGTGGTAGTTATGGAATACAGTGTTACGGGTGATATATTGATACAGTGGTAGTTATACAGGAATACAGTGTTACAGGTGATATATTGATACAGTGGTAGTCATACAGGAATACAGTGTTATGGAAGAGAATATTGATAGTGGTAGTTATGCAGGAATACAGTGTTACAGGTGATATATTGATACAGTGGTAGTCATACAGGAGTACAGTCAGTCCCCAGTAGGAAGGGGTGAGGTCATAGATGCCAACAATTGATTATGACTATAATATATTCACTAGTATACTACATAAAGCACAAGAACAAAATATACCATACAGAAAAATTACAGTAGGTAAATAATTAAATCATGGTATCGAGGGGAAAGTTATAAATTGGATAAAATCATGGCTCACCGATAGAACGCAGAGGGTCAGCGTAGATGGTGTTAAATCTGAGTGGGGCCGTGTAACCAGTGGGGTTCCCCAGGGGTCAGTACTAGGTCCAATCTTGTTCATAATCTACATAAACGATCTAGATATTGGGATCAGCAGTGACATAAGCAAGTTTATGGATGACACCAAAATAGGGCGGCAGATTAATTCAGGGCAGGATGCAATGCATTACAGGAGGATCTAAATAAACTGCAGGGTGGTCCGAAAATGGCAAATGAAATTCAACACCAGCAAGTAAGTACTTAATATTGAAGAACAAATACTGATAATGTACAGCCTTAACAACATCAACCTAGAGAAGTCGACTTGTGAAAGAGACCTAGGGGTACTTGTAAGCCCGGACCTACGGCCTAGAAAATAGTGCGTTAATGTTCGAAATAAGGCAAACAGAGTATTGGGTTTTTTATCTAGAAGTGTAAGTAACAAGAATGCAGAGGTCTTATTGCAACTATATCTTGCGCTAGTCAGGCCGCACCTCGATTATGCGGTTCAGTTCTGGTGCCCCTATTATAGAATGGATATAAATTCACTAGAGTCGGTGCAGCGAAGAATAACAAAAATGATTCGGGGACTTAGAAACCTTCCTTATCAGGATAGGTTAAAGAAACTTAACTTGCATTCCCTAGAAAGACGAAGAGTGCGGGGAGATATGATAGAAATATTTAAGTGGGTGAAATGAATCAATAAAGGGATATAGATAAAGTTCTTATAATATCCGAGCAGGATAGGACTCGGAGCAACGGTTCAGTTGGATAAGTTTAGGTTTTAGGAGGGAGATAGGAAGAAACTGGTTCACAAATAGGGTGGTGGACGAGTGGAACAAGCTTAGCAACTTTGTAGTAAGTTCGGGAACTCTGGAAAGTTTCAAAAGGAGGCTAGATAGATTCATGGATGATAGAGAGTGGTAGTAACTCTCCACAGGAGGTGCCATGCACAGGCCAACCGGCCAATTGCAGACTCCTTATTTTCTTATGTTCTTATGTACTCCAATAAGCGTATTATAACTGGGGTATTTTTTATAGTATGTTACAACAGTATAATGGTGGAGATGACAACACTGACGGTGATACAGTGTTACTCTGTGAACTGTATACATTACTTGAGGTAACTTGTGTAACGTGTCACAACAGCCAATACCCGCGATTAATATTATTGGGATGACCTGATTATTAACCTTAACACTAATCTAACCTAACGCCAAAGGTAGCATTTATCATGTGTAATAAGCTGGTGAGAACTAAACTATTACTTGAAATGAGTCGTACAATCTAGCTCAATAACCATTAATTAAGGCTTACGATGTGCACTTGTTTCTGTGTTGGTAAACGAGAGTGAAATGTGTTTATTGTGCGGAACCGTTAATGAGGTGCAGCTACCCTCAAAAAGTGTTAGCGGTAGTACGCATTGAGGTAGGGCAACCGTGCTGGGCGGCCAAGTGAGTCCATTGTAGCAAGTGAAAGTTGTGTTGTCTACCCCGTATGCTGTGCTCTCTACTGCTGCTCTTTAACACCAGGTATAACCTGATAAATGCTCATATTTGTTGTCGCAACAGCGTTATTCAATTTCTAGACGATCATTTCTACACCCAAAAACACACAAAAAAGAGCAAGACAACCTTGAGAAATATTGGAGACATGATGTAATATTATGTGGTGTAGTGAACGTGGTGGCAACTAGCGGTAGGAGGGTGTGGGTGCCTGACTCCTGCCTGGCTCAGTCACAAGCGTCCAGCCACCGAGGTGACAACACCTCATCCACCTCGCCCCGCACCCGACGTCCACGAGACCTTACACAGACACTGGATGCGAGTCTTTCTCTCAAGTTATAACTTCTGATTCAAGTATTCATTGCATATCTGATGCTGAGGAGCCTTGGAAGGTGGAGGAGGACCCTCGTCGTCTGGAACAGCTTTCGTTTTTCTTGTAACTTTTCTCAAGTGTCCAACGTTTTAGTTTCACTTATGCACTGAAATTTGATTCGCTCGAGGTTTACAATATTCAGGATACTCTCGCGTTCCTTGATGTTTTCAGCATCATGTTGTCCCTGACGAGCTGAAACTTTGATGGAACTTAAGTTACCCGGAAAGTTCCGATAATACTTTTGCTTTCATTGTACTTATTTCAGTGTTCATAATATCCCTACTAGACTCAAACTCGAATAATTTAAGACTAAAGTCACAAGATACAACCTTTGAGTGGCAGGCAGTAACTTTTGACGTCTGAACATCACAGTGATCGTATGTGGCTTTTATAATTGTGCGAACGTTCTGTTGCAGGTCTCGGCTGAATATGCGGATCAGCAGTCCAGAATAGACAGACCCTTTAGTACCTCCACTCACTTTATTTTCCGCCTCGTGGCGTCAACAAGAAATGCAACAGTGGGTTTTAGCGTTGCTTTTCTGAACCCTTTCTGTGCTCCCCCTCCCCACACACGTGATCATGAAGCGTCTGGTGGTATCAACTTACCTTCTTATGATCAGTCTCTCGCGGGCGACTCCTAACCCTCAGCAGAAGTTCCCGGAAGACTTCTATGGCGAGACGAACTCCGGCGTGAGTCCTGGTACAGTATTAACGGATAACGAGGATCTTCCTCCAGGTCCCTTTGGTGACGTCCAAGTTGAGATAAGTCATCCTACGGACTCCTCCATCTCCATAGGATCTCCGGACTTCCAGTTTATTCACGAGTCTGAAGGCAACGCTCCCCTCCACAGTAATGTCGACCTGAGACTCTTATATACTATAATAATGAACGACTCGCATTCGTCTGGCTCCAAACAACACAACAGTAACGGAGGTGTGAACAAGTGTGTTACTGACCTTAGTGGTGTACTCTGTGTCATATGTTCTCGGTAGTATGACAGGTGTAAGCTTAACCCCACATATGATTGTGTGGGGAATTTTTTGATAAAGTTAAGGCGAGCGTAATGTTGGTGTAGCCCCAAGGTTCACACGTTACAGTGACCAAGTCTCTTGGAACGGGAATTACACAACCAACCAACTCAGCACCTGACTCACACCATACACTACCTACCACCAACACCCCCACCAACACCACCACCAACACCACCCCACCCCCACACACCCCCCACCCCACCAACACCACCACCCCCATACCACCCCCCCAACACCACCACCAACACCCCCATACCACCCCCCAACACCCCCACCCCCCAACACCCCCCACCAACACCACCACCCTGCCCCACCCCACCCCACCCCCCATACCACCACCCCCCAACACCACCACCAACACCCCCCTACCCCCACCCCCATACCACCCCTACCACACCCCCCAACACCACCACCCCCACCACCCCACCAACACCCCCACCAACACAAACCACCCCCCCCCCCATACCACCCCCACCACCCCACCCCCAACCCCCATCCCCCACACCACCCCACCCCCACCACCCCACCCCCCCAACCCCCACCCCCACACCCACCCCCCCAACACCACCCCATCCCCCCCAACACCCCCCCACCTCCCAACACCCCACCACCCCAACACCCCCACCACCCCAACACCCCCCACCCACACCACCCAACACCCCCCACCCCCCCACACCACCCCCAACACCCCCACCCCCCAACACCCCCACCCCCCCAACACCACCACCCCACCAACACCACCACCCCCACCACCCCCACCCCCACCAGCAGCACCACCCCACAACACCACCACCACCCCCACCAACACCCCACCAATAGCACCACCCCCACCAACACCACCCCCCCACCCCACCAACACACAGTCACCTACAATAACTAACAGCCTTCTACCTCTCATCCAACAGCTATACCACAGAACTGTTGGTACAAAAGCAACCAGTATGACTGCGGCCTCTCCGTCTCCTGCGTATTCCAGGGTTCGAAGCCCATGGACCTGTGCTCCGGGGGAATGATCTGGACGTGTTGTGTCCCCCGGAACAAGATTGATTCTGTGGACGAGAACCTGGGAGCCATCGGTAACGACGTCGGTGAGTAGGAGCCATGTTGTGTCGTGTTGATGTGTGAGTCATGAGTCATTCTGCCGCATCTGTTGGTCCTGATCTAACCTTGTATTTATAAACTGATGCACTCTATAATGTTTTATACTCCTTTAGCGTTGTTAGTTTGATGTTATGAGGGCTATTCACTCTTAGAACACTATCCTCAAGGCCTGCCACTAAGTAGAATGACTGACGACTTATTCTTTATACTGTACTTCATGGATGTCTGTATCTTTCTTTTATTGGAGGTAACAGACGCCCGTGTTAGTTTATAATGATGATCGATGCCTCTGTCTACGCTATTAAGTTCTGTTGTTCTCTTCACTCCCACCACTCCTACATCACCACCCTGTCTTAAACACTGGAACACCTTAAAGAAATATATAGGTTCGTTTCCTCTGGCATATTAACAATAAGTTTAGTGGTACCAGAGAGATGAACTGAAATGTTGTGATTAGTCTCTGTTTTTATGGTATTTGATTTTTCAGAGTTTCCGAAGATTCAGTGATGTTTGTGGGTTTGTTTTTTTAACTTGGTGTTCAACTTCTAGAGGTTATTATCCCAGTTCACCAAGTTTTAGTTTCAGAAAAATACAACTTATAATCATTAAGAACTATTGTGTCTGTATGTTCAGTCTGACCAACACTATTTCTCTCATGATATTAACGTAATTCAACTGAGTAATATTTTAACCACAATACTCCTCCATTCCATTACCCAATAGAGGATGTCGCTACATAATGTTAGTCGTATACAGTAGTTTTCAGTATCACATCTGTAAGGAGGAACATTCTAAAGGCTGTATCGTAGACGTCAGATATATACAGTCAAGCGGAATATCTCGCCTTAGATGGTGCCATAATTTATTGGACAACCTTGAGGTGCACAAATACAGGGTGATCCAAAAGTCCCCGCAATACTTCACAATGTATTGTTCTACTTACAGTAAAGGTAGGTCTGATAAGTGCAACTATGTAGTCAGTTATTAAAGGTGCACAGGGACTTTTTGATCACCCTGTACTTACAAGCCAGAAATAAATACGAAACACGTAAGTAATATTTTAAGAGGCACGAACACTTACAAGACACATACCCCTTGAGTAACTTAATGAGTGCATCATAAGATGCACTGATAATCTACTTCTTATCGCGCACAAGTACCATCAGGCTACACTCTTCCCTCACTAGATAATTAAGAAGGTAGTCTTAAGACACACTTAAATTTTAGAAGATAAGACTTGAAAAATCTAGCAGGTAGACCCTGAGGCCAGTACCACTAAAACGCCTGAGTGTGAGCAGGAGGCTAGACCAGCTCCTCCCTGTGTAGTGTAGCGAGGGAAGGATGGGCCTATAGCGCTGCCGACTGTCCTCACTGACAGGCCTTTTCTTGGTACGGGTCACAAACTCCTTCTTCACACCCCCGCTGACCCACCCTTCACCCTTATCAGGTCACCACCAGTTCTTCGGTGATGTCAGCAGCCGCCCCAGCTCCTTCAACCACCACCACCAAAGCAGCAGACCTTTTGACCTCCCTAGACCCCCACAGTTTGATTCTGACTTTGATCATGACGACGATAACTTTTTTCCTCACACACACAGACCTTCCTCGATCCTCAGACCACACAGACCTCACGGTAGACCCCAGAGGCCGCCTCACAGACCACAACCACCTTTCCGTCGACCAGAGAGCACGAGACCTGACCACAACTTTGACGATGAATTCAATACTTTCAACAAAAGGCCTCACAATACGTTTAATAACCGCCCTAATAACTTTGACTCGTTCGACAATCGACCTCACGACTTTGCTCGGCCAGGATCTAGTGGCCCTCGTCCGCCGTTTTTATCGACGGGATCTTCCGAGTCGGCTGTTATTCCACCGGGTACGGAAAGTGTGTCGCCTCGTCCATCATCACCAGTGTGTCACATCCACCCTTATTGTTGTTGATGCTTCATAGCGCGTGTTTGCACAGCTGAGATTATGGTGTGGAAAACAGTGGAAGAATTGTACCAAGGTTTTAATCCATTTGTTTAACTATGATGGAGAAGTTTTTGAAAAATTGTTTTGCCTGACGATCTACCAAATACAGAACAGATGTGCCTGTGATAAGTGAGAAAAAAAATCAGTTTTACGTGAGTGTGGTGTTCATGGTGGCGGCCAGTAATAGTGTTCGTGTAAGAGACGTCTCATAAGAGGTGGTTTTGATTGCTCTAATAATTTACAAGAAAGTAAGAGTGTGTTGGCACTCGTGTGAATGTATGAAACAATACTGAATTACTTCATAAGATAAGAACAATAGATGTGTTGCAACATTGACAATAGCAAAACCTAAACGATATTTTGCACCTGAATGAATGAAATATTAGTTCAGACTCATCGAACAATGGGCCAGCACACACCTCATGGTAACACTGTGTTAATCTGAGTGTTGAGAAGATTCCTGAAAAGCGTGTTGCGTAAAAATGAAAAACAAATGTAAAACCAGAGTATTCCCCCAAATTACTTGAGTTGGCAAGTAAATGACCCATAACATCGACTTGGGTTTTCCACTCCCGGAAATCCAGACAATATTGTGCCTCGTGACGTGTGGCCAGTGTGTGGAAACCATTATATGTATTCTGAATATCAAATAATCAGAATCGATTATAATGTGAAGTGTTCCGCAATACAAAGATAACTAATTCTTCAAAGATATATTATAATTTCCAGTATTTCCCTTCTATAATTTCTTCTTAATTTGTTATCATGAAGTGTGTGTGTGTGTGTTGAGTATTGATTGCCACTGACAATGTTCTCACGCTCTCTCCTGCATTATCTTGTCATCTGCTACATCTTGTTCATACTTCCTCATTCCTCTTTGTTTATGTTAATATTATTCTCATTGTTTATCTGCTTCTCCTCTTACGCTTTCTCTTTTTCCTACTTTATCGCCTGGTCTCTCTCTCTCTCTCTCTCTCACTTCCTCTTTCTCTCTCTCTTTCTTGCTCCCTTTCTTCCTCTTTCTCTCTTGCTCCCTTTCTTCTCCTTTCTTCTCCTTTCTCTCTCTCTCTCTCTCTCCTGATAATTGTGTGAATCTTATATCATTGATTTACATAAGATAAACTCCTTCCCATCAGACGCAATAACCAATCCCCTCTCCAATCAGTCAAACGTTAGCTTTCTGGCTTGGTGTTAGCTTTAAGGATAGGTTCATCAGTTAGCTTCCTTCCGTCTCTGTTTCCTCCTATCCTTACACTACTAACCTCTCAGTGTCTGCACCGTGTCTGCTGTCTGCTCCGTGTCTGCTTCTCCTTATCCTTACACCACTATCCTCTCAGTGTCTGCTGTCTGCTCCGTGTCTGCTTCCCCTTATCCTTACACCACTATCCTCTCAATGTCTGCTCCGTGTCTGCTGTCTGCTCCGTGTCTGCTTCTCCTTATCCTTACACCACTATCCTCTCAGTGTCTGCTGTCTGTTTCTCCTTACCCTTACACCACTATCCTCTCAATGTCTGCTGCTGTCTGCTCCGTGTCTGCTTCTCCTTATCCTTACACCACTATCCTCTCCGTGTCTGCTCCGTGTCTGCTTCCCCTTATCCTTACACCACTATCCTTTGAGTGTCTGCTCCGTGTCTGTTTCTCCTTATCCTTACACCACTATCCTCTCAATGTCTGCTCCGTGTCTGCTGTGTGCTCTGTGGCGAGACAATGTGTATGCCATGACACAGAAGGAATTCTAAACGTGATGTCAAAGGCGACACGGTATAAGCAGCACGGAACACCCTGTCATTAAACGCTAGTGACACGGCCTTGGGCGAATACACACCCTCCTTCCCCTCTTCCTCCTCCACTCAACCTTTACCACTGGAGTCACCATCTGTTGTTTATCGTGAGGTTTTATAAGTGGAGGTAAAGGGAGGTTTTATAAGTGGAGGTAAAGTGGGGTTTTATAAGTGGAGGTAAAGTGGGGTTTTATAAGTGGAGGTAAAGTGGGGTTTTATAAGTGGAAGAAAAGTGGGGTTTTATAAGTGGAGGTAAAGTGAGATTGTATAAGTGGAGGTTAAATTAAGCGAATTCACAGATTTTAGTACAGTACCCAGATTTTAGTACAGTCCCAGATTCTAATACAGTACCCAGATTCTAATACAGTACCCAGATTTTAGTACAGTACCCAGATTTTAGTACAGTACCCAGATTTTAGTACAGTACCCAGATTCTAGTACAGTACCCAGATTCTAGTACAGTACCCATATTTTAGTACAGTACCCAGATTCTAGTACAGTACCCAGATTTTAGTACAGTACCCAGATTTTAGTACATACTGTACCTATAGGTTGTGTTGCCTCAGAATAGTGACTTGGCAGGGAAGACAATTACATGGGTCTACAGTTATCAATTTACAGTTAGAGTTGACAATTATGACTTTACAGTTCTGAGTTTACAGTTATGAGTTTACAGTTATGAGTTTACAGTTAGGAGTTTACAGTTAGGAGTTTACAGTTAGGAGTTTACAGTTCTGAGTTTACAGTTCTGAGTTTACAGTTCTGAGTTTACAGTTCTGAGTTTACAGTTCTGAGTTTACAGTTCTGAGTTTACAGTTCTGAGTTTACAGTTAGGAGTTTACAGTTAGGAGTTTACAGTTAGGAGTTTACAGTTGAGTTTACAGTTCTGAGTTTACAGTTCTGAGTTTACAGTTCTGAGTTTACAGTTCTGAGTTTACAGTTAGGAGTTTACAGTTAGGAGTTTACAGTTAGGAGTTTACAGTTAGGAGTTTACAGTTAGGAGTTTACAGTTATGAGTTTACAGTTAGGCGTTTACAGTAAGGAGTTTACAGTAAGGAGTTTACAGTATGGAGTTTACAGTATGGAGTTTACAGTTAGGAGTTTACAGTTAGGAGTTTACAGTTAGGAGTTTACAGTTAGGAGTTTACAGTTAGGAGTTTACAGTTAGGAGTTTACAGTTAGGAGTTTACAGTTAGGAGTTTACAGTTAGGAGTTTACAGTTAGGAGTTTACTGTTAGGAGTTTACAGATGTGAGTTTACTGTTATGAGTTTACAGTTAGGAGTTTACAGTAAGGAGTTTACAGTTAGGAGTTTACAGTTAGGAGTTTACAGTTAGGAGTTTACAGTTAGGAGTTTACAGTTATGAGTTTACAGTTAGGAGTTTATAGTGTTATGAAAGAGTTAATTGTTTTTTAAAAGGTTTGAGAAAAGTCCAATTCCCAGGTAATTTCTTTGTCTTGTGTTTTGTCTTTGTTTGGTGTTTGTTTGATGTTTGTTTGTTTGTTTATTTGTTTGTTTGTTTGTTTGTTTATTATGGTTGCATTTTGTTTTCTATTTTATTATTTTATCTGGTTTTTTTTCGAGTATATTTTTTATTTTTACACTAATTTCTGTTTTCTCTTTCTCTCTTTTTATTGCTCTTAGTGTTATTATTAGTAGTTTATATTGTTTTTCCCTCGTGTGTGTGTGTGTGTGTGTGTGTGTGTGTGTGTGTGTGTGTGTGTATTAATTCAAGTTCCTCTTTACCTTCTGTACATAGTAGATTATCCCTCCAAAATTTGTCTATAGTTGCTTCTGCTCAAATCACCTGTACTCTAACTAGCCTTATTTGCGTCGTTAAAGCACCTATCCTATACACTGCTAGAGGAGGAGGAGGGGTTGGTCAGGAGGAGGAGGAGGGGTTGGTCAGGAGGAGGAGGAGGGGTTGGTCAGGAGGAGGAGGAGGGGGTTGGAGGAAGAGTGGGAGGGGTTGGAGGAGGACCACCACCCCGACCCTCCCTCTATAAACGTCACAAGCCCCCACGACAATAATCTCAGCGAGTCACAACATTTTCACACCATTAGCGTTACAACATGTGATTTGATCTGTGTGCTCTCAGCTGCCTGCGTTACCACACCCAAAAGCGGGGGCGGCTGTTGCTGTGTCACGACCCGCTCTATCTAGCTACCATTCCCTCTGATCCCACCATCCCAGTTATTGCATCTAGTCTGCCACCACCAACCTCTACTACTCACCACTACTCATTTACTCAATTTTACCCACCTTTCTACTCCACCCCCACCTGACCTCTACCTCCCCCGCCTAACTGTAAATTTAATAATCAAAGCTCTCATTTATTTCCTAGTCCTGTTTCCCCTAGAGATATGGGGAGATGAGTGGGGAGGTGGATGAGTGGGGGAGGTGATGAGTGAGGGGAGAGGGGAGGTGGATGAGTGGGGGAGGATGAGTGGGGAGGTGATGAGCGAGAGTGGATGAGTGGGGGGAGGTGGATGAGTGAGGGAGATGGATGAGGGGGAGGTGGGATGAGTGGGGGAGGTGGATGAGGGGAGGTGGAATATGTATGTGGATGAGTGGGGGAGGTGGATGAGTGGGGAGGTGGATGAGTGGGGAGGTGGATGAGTGAGGGAGGTGGATGAGTGTCCTACCATAGTCCCTCACTTGTAAATCCATATTCTCTCTCTCTCTCTCTCAGATTTTTTTTTGATGGATTTTGTATAAATGGTCAAGATTCCCCCCCAGATTTTAAAGGATTGTGTTAAAACTGGACATTCTCTTTGTGCTGACCCTGATAGTGAATGTGAAGTGATTTACAGTAATTGGTAGTTTAGAAGTGAAGATAATAAGTGATTTACCATGGCTGTAAAAAATGAAGAAGAATGAATGACGTATTTGATCTAATGTTTATGGAAAGTTAGACGAACAGTAGTGAGAAAAAACTGAAGAATATAGAAATAACGCCAAAGAACTGTGTAAAGTGACCATAAAATGAAGAAATTATTTAATATAGTGATAAAGTAGGAGAAATAAAAGAAGGATCAATGAAACTGGAGAACTAGTGAAGAAGAAGGGACTAAGGAGAATAAAACAATATTTCAACTTAGAGAAAAAATCTAATAAATC